ATTTCTTCGGACGGGAGCGTTGAGCGAGCTATCGGGCGGCCTCGGCACTGCTCGGTGGCCGAGACCATCAGCACGTTTCCCTGCTGATTGCCGTGTTCCTTTTGCATGTTATTGAAACGTCGCTTACGACATTCGGAAATGAGATGGCCCGGTTTTTTGCAATAAGCGCATATCCTCAACGAAAAGGCATTAGGTGGCGGTTGAGATGTACGCGGGAAGGGAGCGGGCGCGCACATCAAGATAACGACAGGCGGCGAGTCGTAAGTTGCAGAGCTTGTGTTGACGCGTGTTGAAGAGGGAGGAGGAGCCGAAGATGAATTCCGAGGGTCTCGCAGGCGTAACTGATCGCGCTCTAATCTTTTGCTTACAAACAATGCTTTCCGATAAGCTTCCGAGAGGGTACTAAATCCTTCCATGCGGATCTCAATGCGGTACTCAGGGGGAAGGCCATCGAAAAATGAATCTAGTGTATCGGCATCAATAGCGGTAATTTCGGCCGGAGTAAGCTCGCGTCTGAGCACGGTTTGATCTCCTTCAATGATAGCGGTGCGCAGATCCTTAACTCGGCTTATGTAATCCAAGATGTGTTCGCCGCGTTTTTTATAAATGACACTAAGTTGTCCGCGGTAAAAATTTGGCGTACGGGCGGGACTAAAAACTTGTTTTAGTTCGTTTAACACACTATCGACGGTGAAATAAGTTTCGTCTTCGACGACGAGGTACGCGTGACCGATTAACCGGCTCCGGAGCAATCGAACGATATGGGCTTCGCTAGCGAGCGGTAGCAATTCTTTAGCTCGCTAACAAGCTCGCGCGAATTGTAAAACCGAGACATTATGTCCGTCAAATTTAGGGACTGAGTCTAAGACTTTGCGTATGCTAGAAACGGATAGTGTTGAAGAGGACATAAATGCGGCGGCTGGAGGATAGGACAAGGAGGGGGACGCCTGTGGCAAATGCGATTCCGAGATAGGGGCAGACGCGGGGGCTTGCCTAGGGCCTTGGGACAGAGGGGTGGATAAAGGTAAAACTTCCCTCTGTTGATTTGCAGTTAGGTTGCAGAGAAGTTCTTCAATGCGCGCCGTTCTTTTTGCTAATTGTATCTCCCGAGCGTGCATTTCGCGCAGGAGGTTTTGGTTGAGCAACAGTAGGCTAGTGAACGTAGTAGCAAGGGGGACGTATGTACCGGGATCGAGATTCATATGGGGTCGCGTGGACGGTGGGTCGCTCGCGTATTGCCCATCGCGAGGTTGAGACGGAAAAATGGGTGATTCTTCAGAATCTGTGGTTGAGGCGTCATCAGGGTGATTCAGAGGCGAAAGAGGCTTTGAGCGGTCCATCGCGTGCGGACGAAGATGCGACTGAAGTTCGCGGTTAATAAGATTCAAAAAGCGAAGTCGCTCCCTGCGGCGATTTAGTTCGGTTTTGTCCGACGAGGAAATTTTGATAGAATTCTCCCTGTTTGAGGGAGAAATTAGAGTCGAAATTTGTAAAGAAGATTATATTCCCGAATTGAACACAAGAGAGAAAAATTTTGGATATTCCGGTTGTTCGTAAAAATCTCACCGCTGTCACCAGTTTTCTTTTATGTTACATCTCGCGGAGACAGGAACACGCGCGACAGGAGCGGCTCCGTTACGTAATGAGGCTGCTTAGCCGGGGGGGGGGGGGGGGGGNAGGTTTACTCGTGGTGCTGTGGTAGAATCCCGGAAAAATAGGGGTTATTTAAGAAAGAAATGGAAACAAAATAAATGGGTACAAAATAAACAATATAATTTATTGTGCTCTCGCGCAATTCGAACAAATTAAATCGAGATGGCAACGTATAAATTATGAAGTCGGTTGTGCGCACGAAGTCGTCGGTTTTATTCAATAGATAAAGCATCTACCTTGTTCTAGAGAAAAGAAGGAGCCAGGTTGCAGGGCAGAGTTTCGTCCGTCGTTTGTTTTTATCGGTAGCGTCACACCACCTTGGCTGTGGTGCTTTTCTTGAAACGAGATGGACACTGAGAGAATTTTCACTCCGACTCGCGACTGACTCGTTGACGACGAAGTCAGTAAAATTTGCAAACCGCACAGACCCAAAAGACAGAACGATTGGTACTGACAGAACGATTGGTACTGACTCTCCTAAAGACGGGGCCCTTATTTATACGTTCGTCTTGGACGCCCTCTTTCTTCTATAACTATGTAGCTTGCATTTTTGGTGGGAACGCCAACGGACTTGGTGGTCTACGGTGTTCTCAGGTTTATAAGATAGGGCACGAAATGGATCATATACATCCGTTCTCACGGAGCGAAAAAAAAAATTTAGTTTATCTAAATAATACGTAATGTTGAAAAAAAATCGCATAACATAACTTATTTCATACACCGGGCATGATCGGTGGGGCAATACTTCAGCTATTCAGCGGCAGTGACTGCCGGATCTAAGTTGAGTTTAATAAGCTCGAAAAACGGTAGATAGAAGGTGAGAATTATTTTAATTATACAAAATATAGCAACGATACGGTCGGGACTACAACTAAAGTTATAATTTGGAAGAAACGGTACGATGTCAACAGGCGACTACCGGGATGAAAGAAGAGTGTAGGGAAGGGAGAAAAAAAATAGAAGTGTGATAGAAAAAGGGAGAAGGAGGAGGGGGTTCCGGGGGTGCCTCGGGACGTAACAATATATATATAGGTAGAGTCTACTTGAGCAAAACGATTCCCGTTGTTATTGAAAATTTTGAAATATTAAGAAAAAATATTAGCAAATTAAAGTGCGCGATGTTATTTGTTTAATCGATATGTGTAGGAGCGGACATTGCGACTGTTGCACATTGAGAAATATAAACAATAAAATTTGTATAAAATTATTCGGAAAATAACAAATTTTTAAACAATGAATTATGTAGTCGTTTCTATGTCGTTTTAAGAAGGTTGAAGTACAATTAAAATGTTTACGACTTCTAGGAATAATTTTAATTAATTTCCAGCTAGTAAAATGATTTCATGTTGTGCTCAGCATACATTCATATATTGACATAACATGATTTCAGAAATGCATACAGATGTTTGCGCATTTGCTGTTCAGATGTCGTTCATTTCATGATCAAAAATATATCTTATCTTATATTATTATGATAGCAAAACCTAACATATTTGTACATGAGTTGCGCATATCTTGTGGTTATGTTAATTACGTTTCTTTAAAAAAGCATTAAGTTAAAGTTAATGTATTGAGAGTACAAATTAGTTCCGTCCGTTTTTGTGGTCAAAAATGAATTTATTTTAAAACAAAATGTATTGGGAGTACAAATTAGTTCGGTCCGTTTTTTTATAATCAAAAATACATTTATTTCAGAACAAAATGAATGAACAGATTAATCAAAGTATTGTCCATCGCTGGCTACTACTTTTTCCCACCTCTCAGGCAATTTTCGAATTCCATCTCGAAAAAATGTCTCGTCTTTTGAGAAGATCCAATTTAGAAGCCAATTTTTTATTCCTGCGAAAGAAATGAACCAGTGACCTGCTAAATCGTGCTGCATCCGTCGGAACAACCAGTAATCAGAAGAAGCAATGTCAGGCGAATACGGCGAGTGCGGTCAAATATCCCACTTGAGCGTTTCCAAATAATTTTTTACGACTTTTGCAACATGAGGCCGAGCGTTATCATGCAGAAGAATAACTTTGTCATGTCTTTTCTCGTATTCCGGCCGTTTTTCTCGTAATGCACGGCTCAAACAAATCAATTGTAGCCTATACTGATGGCACCGTAATGGAATCACTCGGATCTTCATCGAGTAATGCCTCCAATTCTTTGTCTTCGAATTTTTTTGGCTGTCCAGAGCAAGGCTTGTCTTCAACGCTGAAATCACCATTCTTGAAACGTCGAATCCATTCCCTACATGATTTATCAGTTGGAACATTGTTACCATAAACTTCTAATAAGCATTCGATGCGCATCAGCTGCACATTTCTTCCAATTAAAGCAGAAAACTAAAACCTCCCGCAAATGCTGCTTAGTTAACACCAAATTTGACATATTCAACACTGTAAAAAACAGGGGTTTTGTTTGAAACTCAAAGCGATATAAACTGAATATTATTGACAGATGTTTAACCTCTCCGAAACCATCGAAATCAGCTGTCACTATGAAACATTCATAACAGCCAGAGCCATATTTTGAAAACGGACCAAACTAATTTGTACTCAAAATAAATATCATATTTTGATGAAATGAGATCATCACACATTTCTATCTGGGTAATTTTGTATTTAATATAACAATTTGACTACAGACGTAACAAAATGACGAATTAATAAATTTTATTATCACCGTCTATAGATTGTACTTTAATTCATTAAAAGAAACTTTTTCTCTCACTTCAAATTCTTCCAAAATTACTTTCTCATCAAGATTTCACTTCACATCATTCATGTGTGGTTATGGGCCGCTAAATTTCAAGTCTCCTACACCATTTTCAGATTAAGACTTAATGGTATCTTTTATTTGATCCTTAAATGCGTCCAATTTTGTCAATCGGAAACAACAATTTATTATTCATATTATTTTAAGATAATATCTAACCAATGAAACGACTTTTCTGTAGTAACCAGGGCAAATCTGAGGGAAATATTATACTGAAAATTTTACTGATATTTTTTATCAATTGACCCCATTTTATTATCATTCCTCCAATGTAAGCAGTTTTCAGATAAATTCAGTTAACCCCTTGCCGTGCTTTAACGAGTCTGACTCCTGATGAAAATTTTGGCCCAAACATGAATATGACGAGCCAGGCTCGTGAATAGATCGTCGGGCCAAACGTAAACATCACGAGCCGAGGTCGTGTACAGATAGTCGGATCAAACATAAACATCACGAGCCTGGGTCGTGATTGAATGTTAGTTTCTATCAGTACGCCACCAGAGTTAGTCACGAGTCTCATAATTGCTGTTACAAAGTAGTTTATATTATTATATTGAAATTTAATAATAAACCCTTACAAAATGCAAAATAAAAGAGATTTAAGTGAAAGCGGTGATAATGAATCTAGTGATAGTGATGTTCTTCCGCTAACCAGAAAGCGTCCAAGGCGTATGATTATAGAAGATAGTAGTGAAGAGGAAGGTACGACGCGTCAATCATGGATTTGGCAGGAGAAAAAAAACACACCAATAGTTTGGACGTATTCTGAGACTCATGGTATAAAAGCGTCTGTTCTTACTAATTTAAGCAAGGATCCAACAATATTAGAACTATTTTCTATTATATTTGATAACAAACTGTGGGATATAATTATTACGGAAACAAATCGCTTCGCATACCAAGAAATGAACGACGAGTGTAAAAGACGGAAAGTGGACGACAATTGGTATCCTGTTACCTTAGATGAAATAAAGGCCTACTATGCATTATGTATTTTGATGAGTCAAGTAAAAAAATCAAATATACAACAGTATTGGACTACAAGAGCAGTAATAGAAACGCCAATATTTCGAAAAACAATGCCATTTAAGAGATTTCGGCAAATTTCGAGATTTTTACACTTCTCTAATAATGAAACTTCTGATAGAAATGACCGACTTCGAAAGGTAAGACCTATCATCAACCTCTGGAATGAAAAATTTAAAGAAATTTACACACCCAGTGAATATATCAGCATTGACGAATCCTTGATGAAATATAAAGGGCGTTTAGCATACAAACAATACAATCCGTCGAAAAGAGCTCGATTTGGATTAAAAATTTATAAATTGT